CCCCCGCCTCGATATTGCCAATATTTTTTTCGCCTTTCGAACTCTGTCGCTACTCGTCGGTCCACGCCGAACAATGACTGATGACGCTGGTGCCTTCGTTGGCTGCTTTTTGCCGCGGATGATAATAATGGTGATACGTGGCACACAATGGACTCTAGCATCAAGCAAAAACCCATGTTACCAGAGATTACTATGTATGACAACATAACGCGTTAACGTTAATACGCCTAATTATTTTATGCATATAATTTGCTTATTTTTAAAGCATCGTTTTTCTCGTAATCCCTTTATTAAGCAATGTCGGCGGCGACGACATTCGTTTGTTTCGTATCATATAAAAATGTTATGACTTCGTATGTATGTATATAAACACAAATTAGAGGTTTTCGTAGTTTTAAGGAAAAAGATACTTGCGCAATCTAGTAATCGATTAATATTATATTCCATCGCATAGAGCAGAAAATTTCCTATCGATTCTATGTGATCTTGGTGTTTTGTATCCATCATATAAGAAAGTTATAACGCGGTAAAAACTTAGCATCGCAACTATATGATATTTTCAGTTTTTAGGAAAAAAATGTTGGTGCAATCAAATAATAGATTAATATTATATACTATCACATGAAACAGAAAATTTCCTATCGATTCTATATGATCCCGCAAGTTTTCTTTGTATCATATAAGAAAATTATGACGCCGTAAACACTTAAGTGTCGCAATAATATCAGGTTTTGGTTGTTTTTAGAAAAGAAATTCTGTTGCAATTAAGTGATCGATTAATATTATATACCATCACATAGAGCAGAAAATTTCTTATCAATTCTATATGATCTCTGAGTTTTGTACATATACATAATCGATTACTTGATTGCACCAGAACTATTTCCTAAAAACTACGAAAACCTCATATATTTGTAATATTAAGTGTTTACGGCGTCATAACTTTCTTATATGATAGACACAACACTCCAGGATCATGTAAAATCGATAGAAAATTTTCTGCTTCATGCGATAGTGTATAATATTAATCGATCACTTGATTGCACAAGAATCTTTCTCCTACAGACGAACATCTCATACAGTTACAGAGTACTTATGTGTTTATTGCGTCATAACTTTCTTTTATGATACGAGAAAAACTGCGAAATCATGTAGAATTTTTTTGCTTTATACGACAGTGTATAATATTAATTGATCACTTGATTACACAACCAGTTTTCTCCATAAAACTACGACCACCTCCTTGTTTGAACAGGTAGAGGTGCAATTTACTCTCTTTAGCTTTTAATTTAATTGTTTCTCACTATCCAGCCGAGATTATCACCACAAGAATTAAAATAAGCAATCCCATAAACTCAAAATAGAATTTATTGTATGATTCTATTTTAATAATCACATGCTTGAAGTGTAAATGCTGTTAGTTTCTGTTATTAATTTAATTTTAATAGATTTTGCATAGATTGTGTTGAATTTTTATATCATTTGCAAGTTTAATGTGAACCCGTGTTAAACAGCATTGTGAGAATGATGTGCAAAACGGCGTTATGCAAAAAAATCACTGACCACGTTTTTTCGCGCTGTTTTTTTTTACAAGTTCGTACATAGTTACGTTTTTTTGCGAGTGAAATTTGCAAGTTTGCACATCGACACCGCATTTGCAATGGAAATGGAAATAATCGCGAGGTAATTCGGCGGATGCGCCCGAAGTGGCGTTGATTAAAAACTCTTGGCCAGTACGGCTTTAATCAGCATTAAAATAAACAGGCGGTAAATTTAAAACGCCATCCGAGCGGTAATTAATGGAAATTACACGGGGTAGAAAAAATAAATTAGATAAAAAGTAAATAGTTCTGGGTAAATAGTGTTTAAGTAAATTTACATAATGACTATATTCGAGACCACCTTGCATGTTTTTCTCGAATTATAAGAGAGAATTTTTCACTTGCACGCTTGAGTTGTACTACTTATTCTATTTGCAAGACGTTGACATGTTCGCGATCGTTTCGAGATAGAAGCGACAGCGAAAAACGGTTTAGATTTAATTTCGCGCCACTTGAAAAATTTAAACATTCCGGAGGAACGTTTAAATATTAAAGGAAAAACGAAGTGGGCCGGCGACAAAGGACCTTTTTCCTTTTCCTCGCATCTATTTTTCAAACACTCGTATTTCGTTTCGGGCGCCTATTGAATTTTAATTTCGTCGTAAACAATAACTTCACTCCCCCTAAAACAAAAACTTTTCTCTCCACGGCATTTTCTTTTCAAACAAAATATAAAATGGATTAAAATAAGTTGAAATTAAATTAAAATAAATGAATCAAATCGAATTAATTTTTCGTTAATATCCATAAGTCAGAATTTCAAATCTCATTAATTTCGAGCAAATCTCCAGCAATAACAAGTGTAACGGAAAACGACTTAAAAAGCCATTAACAACGAGCGAAATGGTGGCGCCACCTGCGCACCGAGCACAACATTAATCACACGATTTTGATTACAGATCGATCTGACCCACCAATTGACTCACCCCCATAATCATAAATCCCAAAACTAACTACTTAGTAATCAAAAAAAAAGTAATTGTGTTTAAAAATTCGAATCGATTTTAACGGGAAAAGAAAATCGGTGGGGCTAAAGGACGTTCGAAGCGTTTAGCCAACAGAGAGCGGTAACGAGGTGGAGCTTTCCATTTAAAGGGAGGTGTGAAGGGTGTTTATACAGGCGAAAGCTTTCGCTTCCGCTCGCCTTTGTGAAGGAGAATGTCGCCGCCGCCGACATTGCTCAATGAAGGGGCTACGGGAAAAATGAAGCTTTTAATTTGGCCGTAATGAAAAGCTTACACCACTAAAGAAAAGTGGGTAATAAACAAATTAAACGCGTAAAATATTTAAATTATGGAAAATAAAAAATTATATCTGGCAAATTAAATCTTTCTCAAATTTGCTTTCAAATGTTTTTTATTTCATCCCAATATCTGAAATTGTTTTTTAGCTACAATCCTCTTAACTTCAATTCCTCAAATCTAGTAAATCAATTAAAGATTCAGAGTTGGGTTTAAAATCGTCGATATTTTCGGTATCTTTGGAGATAGCGGAATATTAAATACACCACTAGAAAGCCTGATGTTTTGTATCTATCATCGTATCAATCTATCATTTGGTGTTAAAACGAACCAAGTCCCGTTAACGGACGTACTAATAATATACGCGTACTGGATTGTAGTGAAAGTTGAATAGTGAAAGTCCGTGACTTAGTTCCATTCAGCACTCACTCATGTTTTCCCATTCTGATTGCACTGTTGTGCGTATGTCTTATTTCCTACCGCGTTGCCGTCACTTCTGTTAAAATGGAGGTTCAAGAAGTTGCTGGGATAATGAGTGGTAAGAAAAGATCTAAAAACCCTGAAACCTACAAAAGAAACATTATCAAGAAAGCCAATATAGAAGGAACTGAATACACTAATTACGGTGGGAAGTTAATTCTTGCAAAAAGTATTTGTCGAACATCTAACTGGTAAGTGTTAACTTTTCTAGGTTAGGTAACAGTGTCTGTATGTTTGTTGATCTTTTTAGTTGCAAAATAAAACGCTGTTTGGAAAAAGTAAACTTTACGGAACGAACCTCTATACTTGCTGTATTTCACGGTTTAAGCAGCAAAAATGAACAAGACTTGCATTTGCAGCGGTTGATCGAATTTAAATCTATTAAACGAAGAAGACCACGTGTTACAGAAAGGCAACACGAAACTACATTGCGACAAGCTTATTTTGAATATTTTATATTAAACAACAATAAACGTGTCAAAGTCTGCCGAAAAGCATTTGCTCAGCTTCACCGTATATCCGAAAAACGTATTCTACGAATAACCCAGTTGCTTGTGAAGTCGGAAACGCCTAAAGATAAAAGAGGTACGAATCCAAAAACACATTGCATTCCAAAATTAGTATGTAACAGATTCACGACCACATTCAGTCGTTTCCAACACTACGCATTATTCGGGTCGTAGTACTCAATACTTAGATGCTAGACTTGATGTTAAAACAATGTTTGGTTTGTTCAAAGATAAATTCCCTAACACAAAAGTTAAATACGAATTCTATTTAAGAACTTTCAATGAAAATTTTGCACTTCGATTTGGTCGTCCGCAAATCGATGTATGTTGTACATGCGAAGAGCTCTCCGTGAAAATAAAAACTCCACATTTATCAGAAAATGTGAAACGTGCTGCAAAAGGAGAACTGACTGTTCACAAAAGAAGAACCAAGAAATTTTTTACTGCTCTCAAGAATACAGGAGATGAATCGAAAGCAAATCCAACAATTTTAGGTCTGGCATTCGACTTTATGCAGAATTTGCCACTCCCACATACTCCAGTTGGTGAAATATTTTATTTAAGACAGTTATGGGTGAACACGTTTTGCATTCATAATCTAAAAGATGACAACTCACAGATTTACATGTACCACGAGGGAATCGCCAAAAAAGGCGCAAACGAGGTGTGCTCATTTATTTATGACTACATAACCCGTAATGTTCCTGTGGAAGTGACTGATCTATATTTGTACATATTTGTACCCTGGGCAAAACAGGAACCATACGATGATAAGAATGTGTCATATATAATATTAAGTTTTTACAGTTTTTCTACAATTTCTTATCGATTCAAAATCATCTCGCAGTCTTTTCTTTTTTTTATCATATAAGAAAATTATGACGTAAACACATAAATTTTGCAGTTATATGAGCTTTTCGTAGTCTTTAGGTGAAAGATTCTTGCACAATCTAATGATCGATTAATATTATATACTGTGATGTTTTACTTGTGTGTTTTTACACAAGTTATTAAACTATAAATTTGGGTTTCTTTAATTTTAAGAGACTCTTATTAAACTCAGGGTTTCGGGCAAGTTCAGGTTCAAAAAGAAAATTAATCAGGTTCGACAAAAATTCATTTAATTAAACACAAAATCAAATTAACTCGTTTTATGAGTAACAAAAAAAAATTGTTTTCCTAAATTTACTTTAATAACAATGCTTATTTACGAGAGATAACTTTTAAATAAAATAGATAACTGCGGTTATCGACTGAAATATCGATATTAGAGAGAACCCGTTTATTATTTGAGAGAGAGAGAGTAGGATAAAACTCGTTAGAACCGTTCTTTGAAAATAACAAATGGCCGATGTCTTAAGTTGTCATCAAACTCGTTGAAGAAAAATAGAATTAAATAAATGAACGTTATTCAAGAAAACTAATAAATCTTTACCCACAAGTAAGTATTGATCAAAATTATAGGAAACTCTTGTGAGTTGTTCTTTGAGTTTGATTCTTTGATTTTTCTTTTTGTAGGTTATGTTAAATAATAAAATAAAATTATCATCCGACTCACTGTGAAAAAGAAAGGATTGGAGTTCAATGTGGTATCTGGATTATGGATTGTCTCTTGTGTTCGGGGCACTAACTAATTTTCTGGATTGTCTACAGGATTCTTCTTACGGGAAATTGAACTGTTTGTTCTTCGGAAATAGGGTCTTGGATGATCTCGAAGAAGTATCGGTAGTTCTTGGAATAGGTTGTAGGATGATTCTCTTTTTATTTTAATATTGTAAGTTGATTTGACTTTTTTTTAAAAAATTATCTTAAATTTTTGAGGTTATCTCTTCAAAAATTCTTCTATCTGACGACGTGGATTCGACGCTGGTCCGACGACGACTCTCTCACTCCCTGTTCGCGATCTCCTTATATACCCCGGCACTCCAACTGTTTTTTCCTCGTTTCTGATTGGCTCTTAGCTTCGCGCCCTTTTCAAAATTCAAAATTCTTGCTTCGAAACTAGCGTCATCTCTTGATTTTTCTCGGAATTAACCTTCAAAATTAAATTCTTTTTTCGTTGATTTCTCCCTTATTCCTTTATGAAACGTAATAAAACTTCGTATTCAACGTTGTCTTTTCTTGTTTTCAGACATACATTGGAGTACACGCCAAATTTCAACAATGAGTAAAGTTAGAAAAATTCAAATTTAAATCAAGGATTTCTTCTTCAAAATAACGTTAAAACCTCAAAAGATGGATGAAAAATGTGCTTTAGGAGCTGAACTATAATAATTGATACTTTTGGAAGCAAACAAAACGGTTAAAGGTAAGATTTTCACCAACAAAAATCTTTCTGTCACAATTTCTAGGTTATGTTCTCTCGGTGAACTAAGAGAATGTTAAAATTATCACAATACCATCACATAGACCAGAAAATTTTCTATCGATCAAAGTTATAATGCAGTAAACATTTAAAGACTGTAATTAAACACATACGTATTCTGTACATGACGATATTCTTTATTTTTCACCATTGTTGGCATCAATACGAGTAAATTATTAGGACGCGGTTTTAGGTACAGGAAGCATCAGACTATCTAGTGGTGTATTTATATCTATCTAGTGGATAGCAACAATTTTAAACCAAACTCTGTCTCTCAAATGTTTGATTGATCTAGATTTGAAGAATTAATAATAAAATAAAAGGGATTGTATCTCAACAATGAATTGAGATATCAGGATGAAATAACAAACATTTTAAAGCAAATTCGATCTTATTTATCTCGTATTGGTTTTTAGACGACCGCTGAAGATGATATTTAACCCTTTGTGTCCCAAGAAGTCAAACATTTTGAAACTTTGTGACAGAATCAGACAGAATTAAAACGCTATTAAAATACACTCAGTAAAGGCCTNTCATGTCACAATATGTCAGATTAGTCTATATAATATTGACATATAAACCCGTAGCTCGAACAACTCGAAAATTCTTATGAACCTTTAAATAGTATGGTAAATTCCTAGATATTCTATCTTTGATTTCATCTAAGTCCAGATTCAGTTTTTGAACTCTATGATGTAACTCTAAACATGGTTATAATTGGTGTCTGGAAAAATTGGGGTCATAGATACTAAAAATTCATCTAAATTACACCACGTACAAGGAAAGACGCCTCGAAATATTTCACTTTTATATCCCGACGTAACGAATATTAAGAAGTATGCCCTGTAGAAAATTTCGAGGCGGATTTTCCGTGTTCTCCCCGGTTTTTATGAAGATATGTTCCTCCAGCAGCGACTCCATTTGGAGGCCCTTAATAAATGTATGTATAAAGTTCTCCCGGAATTTTTGTTTATCCGAAATGCCCGCCATTTCACCGTCTTATATCATTACTCTTCATTACATGTACAACGAGACGCGCCGTCTCCTCCGTGATAGATCGTTTTTACTTCGACCCTTTTCTCCGAGAGATTTCGGATATTTAAAAAGCTTTTTTTCTAACTCACATAATCTGGTGGTTTCCCCAATATAAGAAGTGGAACTTACCTAAAACAAAAAGAAAAAAGATTTTTAAAATTTCAAAAACAAAAAATACATATGCAAAGTTAGCATCATTTCTTTCGTATTGGTCAAGAATTGAGCTTTCGAATGTAAAATTGATAATCAAAATGGGTTGTTGTGATCAAAATTGTGGTCTAACTTCGCATAGTTGAATTAGAACATAAAACATTCATGCGGTAAAAGTTTCTTAAATAGATCGTTTCTGCTCATTGATTTTAACCACGTAAACGACTCCCTGACATTCTCGAAAAGTCCTTGGGGCTTATTACGTAAAGTCAGACCCCTGGATCGTCGCCAACACGTCTTTATGAGTGGGAAATTAAGTATTTTTAATGAGCACTCTAAATGCTAACAGCCTTAATTGCGAAATTTTGTTTATAATTTGTAACTTTTGATTTTAAATCTAACACACGAAGCTCCAAATCCCGTGCTATTTGATTAGGGGCGATCCCCTCGCGTTGTTAGGCGTCTCCAGGAAAGCCTCTATCGACGTCGTCCCGGGAGAAAGGACGTCGTCGTCGTCTACTCCCGTCATTCCGGTCGGATCACCGGATAGATATGCTCGAATCCGGGGAACGAGAGGATTGAAAACGCGCGAAAGGGGTTAATTAGCGAACCAACAAAGGCTGCACGAGTGGGCGGTTGTTTTGACAACCCTCGATAACCGCCGAAGAGAGTACTCGTACGCGTCACGTGATTCGATTTGCAAAAAAAATTAGGGAAAAAATAAAAAAATCAACAACATCAAGAACAACAACAATCAAAATAACAACAATTAAAACAACAACACCGAATAAAACATGGTGAAACGAAAACTAAAAAAAAAGTAACGATAAAGAATCGGATCTTGTTGGGGGATTTAGTGAAAGGGAAAAGGGACACATGGCGTTGGGGTTGGGATTGGGACGTACCACAAAACCGCCATTTTCGGTGGGAGATTGTTTGTTGTTGGTGTTGTTGTTGTCGTTGCTGGTGGAGCCAGCGTATCCAGATAGATAGCACTGTGGTCAGTCGCTGCAACAGACGAAACTAGTCAGTCAACTTTCCCACGGGATACTTTCACCGTTAAGTTTAACAAGAAAAAAAGTTGCACAAAAAAGACCTGGACAAAAAAGAAGTTTTTTCCGTTTCCGGTTAATAACTTTCTTATATGATACGGACAAAACTCTAAAATGATATAGAACTTATAGAAAGCGTATAATTGCCGTATGCAGATGTTTACGCCTTTATAACTTTCTTATATGATACGGACAAAACTCTGAGACCATATGGATCCTATAGGAAATTTTCCGCTCTTTACAGTGATATATAACATTAATAGATCATAAAGTTGCAGAAGCATTTTCTCCCACAAAAACTGCAAAAGGCACTTCTTAGCAATTAGTTTTCGCAGTTTTTGGGGGAGAAAATGCTTCTGCAATCCTGTGGTATACTAAACTTATATACCACTGTAAAGAGTGTGAAATTTCCTATACGTTCTATGTGGTTTTAGAGTTTTTTCCATATTATATAAGAAAGTTATTAACTGGAAAGTGCTGCAAAAACGGTGTTTCTACAAAACAAAATAGTTTTAAAACATTATATTCCATTTTGTCATGCATCAATAGAAAGAGCAGAAAGATACAAAAAAGTTTCATTTCCCCAATTCTGATTGAAACGCTTTCATCGTTTCCTTTAATCGTAAAACAACGAGATAACAACAAGCGGATGACACAATTCATATTTAATTACAATTACCGTGAAAATTAATCGCGCACGCGTTGTGCTGGGTTTATATTTATGGGTCCCAATTCGTCGGCGAGCCATTACTCTAATTAATATGTCTCGATGGCGGCCGCTCGTTGCTTGGTCTATTTGGTTAATGAAGCGACCAGGACCGTCTCGCCATAACTCACGACCTCCACCTCCGCCGCCACCGAAAGTGGATCTCTGCCGAGATAAAGTTTTTGTCCCGGACGAGACAGCAGACCGAGCAGAGCCGCGGCGATTGCCCCTTCGGGCGTGTTTACATTTTGAAATTGCTGCCCGGTCTGGGAAAATTAACCGCGTTCGTCGCCCTAACGGCGACAATATCCTACTTCACCACTTCACATCGCTGCTGTTCTGGTACGGTTATATTTGAAACTAAACCGCCAAACGAATCCGACGAAAACGCTTTACGCGTTTAACTGTTATTGCTTGCGCTCACTTTTTGTGGAAAATCCAATTTTCTGTTTATTTATCAAAAACTATTTATCTAAAAGTTCGCGTTTTGTGGGATATCGTATCTTAAAAACTCGTTGGGATACCTATATGGTGTCACGTGCATTTTAAAACAGATTTAATCTAGTTTTAGTATACCATAATACCTTGAATTAGATACTGTTCATTTTAGTAGTAAATCGTATCTCAGAAGCTAATTGCGATATCATATTAAAGCTAAGTTAATCTATTTTGAGTGTGCCATAAATAAATTCTTAGTTCCCATAAATCTTGCCGCAATGATTTTTTTAATTAAACACTGCACGATTAATAAATATTGAAGAATTAACACAAATGTAAGATATCGTATCTCGAAAACTTGTGGAGGTGTCATGATGACATAAGAAGCATTCTTAGCAAGTTAATCTAGTTTTAGTATACCAATTACAATTTATTAGTTTCTACACATCTGGTTGATATGATATTTTTAATTCATTTCCTTTCCGTTATATAATAATAAATGCCTTTATTAGAAAATAAGCTTAATTGTACAAAAAAAAAACATACAAAAGAAAATAGGCGAGTTCCAGCTTGTACAGGTGTCCCAATTTCGATGTCCGCATAGGCTATCTCCGAAACTAAAAGAGATAGAAAAAAAGTAGCTTACATGTCATGATCTCGTTTTTCGAGAAAATGCTAATGCCGTAAACTCCGAACAGCTATCGTCTTTTGTTTTCGCCCTATCGGCAAAAACTGAAAATTTTGCAAAAACGACAATCGCAAATATCTCACTTATTATCAAAAATGGAGTATTATAAATAAAACATTATATGCACCAGCATGTTATGTGTCAAAGTATAACAAAACTGAATAAAACTTTGCAATGAATTTCGAAAATTATGAAAAATGTAACATGATGGAATGCTATATGTTATCCGATAAGAATGCGATGTTAGCCGCGGAATTATATTTCACAAGGTATCCGGAAAGCAGACAACCACACGCAAGAACTTTCAGCCGGTTAGCAGAAAATTTAATGGATTTTTGGTCCTTCCCCAAACCACGTGCAAAAACATACCAAAATGACCTGCAAGAGGATGAAGTCAATGTATTGGCTTCACTTGCTATAAATCCATCAACATCAAGAAAAATAAGTATAAACCATATAAATCGGGGCTAACTCATTATATACGTGCCGGAGATGTCAACCTAAGATTAGAATTTTGTAGATGATATTTAGAAAAATTAAATAATCTGCTGTTTGTTCAAAATGTCATCTGGANATAAACATGGACCTATCCAAATAATTTTTCTATGATGAGTTCAAAATTTTGAATACTGCATCATATAAACAATCCTCGGGGCCGTAAATCCCTGAACCAAATCCCATTTATCTCCCGTTCCAAAAAGGAGCATGGTCTAGTAGAAGCAAGCACATTGGCGTGCGCCCGTTAAATTGTAGCGAAGGTGGAGCGACGCGGCGCGAAACTTTCGTAATCGAAATTCCCGGCTCAAAATATAAATTTGCATCGCGCGCCCGCGGCGGCCTTCTACGTGCCATCATCCCCCTTTCGGTACTGGGGGTGCGATTTCCCCCCAACACCCTCTTTATTATTCACACCGTGGTTATGAAGACGCGAGCGCGCATCAGCCGAAAACTAGACGTGTCGCGAACGCTAATGATGACTTATTCGAGGAGCGGCGTTGCGACGTCACGAATACAAAACGACCGACGCCCGCTTTCCATCCCTTAACAGCATCCC